AGCATTTCATTAGTAAAGTTGACCATCCATATCAATTGATTACTTTTAATGCTTCTGATTTTGATGTTTTTAAAGGGTGTAGAGGAAAAAGCACTGGCAAGAAGTTACGGTCGTTGGGTGCCAGCCCTGGCTTTGCTACTAAGGATGTAGGCCACCTTATTCTGTCTCTTAACATCTGTAGCCTTCAGTTTATCCATCTGTCAAACAAGAAGCTGAGTCACAGACCCATACCAGAGGGAATACTGAAAGGATGTTCTTTAAGAGAAAAGGAAGAAATGAAGAACCATTAAAAGTAAAAAAAAAAAATGTAAAGCAATTATAATATATTCAAGTCTAACACTGATTATATAAAATGACACTAAGGTAGATATACACAACAATAACATTCCAGTTAGGTTGTGATAAATGAAGTAAAAATATTCTTAAAGTTTTTGCATTGACCAGGAAGAGGATAAAAATCTCTGTCAACATTGGATTTTTATGAGATAAGGACGTATGCTATAATTTCTAGGGTAACTCCTAAGAATGTTGCATGTCTGCTAAGTTCATGGTGGGGTGAAGAGCATATAGAATAATTAAAAATGCTTAAGCATATTACAAAGACAATAAGAAAGGAAAGAGAAAGGGGAAAGGAATTGGTAAAACAAATGGTCATTAAGGAGATATTTTAAAATCCACATATGTCAGAATTATATTAAGTAGAAATACTTGAATTAAAAGACAAAGGTTGTCCGATGGAATAAAAACTACAACTCTGTATACTAACTTATGGATGTGGCAAAGTTGGAAAGAGTAGAAAGTCAGAAGAGTAGAAAGAAAAACTCTTCCCTAAGAATGAATATTCAACAATTATATGTTTGTATACATAAAGTAATATCTCTAGATTATATAAAGTGAAACACAAAACTATAAAGAAACAAAGCATGTATATTTTTATACACATCTCCCTTTAACTGATAGAACAAGCAAACATTCTAATAAAGATATAGAAAATTTGAACATGATAAAAAATTTGACTAAATAGCACACATAGAACATCATAGAATTCATATCCTTTCAAGTACATGTTTGACCATATGTGGGGCCATAGGAAATCTCAACAAACTTCAAAAAATGATAACATAGAGAGAATGTTCTCTGACCAAAATGTAGCAAGTGAGAGAAAGCAGTTGAATTTGTAATTCAAGACTTTCCCATAAAGAAAATATGGAATACAAATCACTACACAGTAACCATTCCATTATGCCTAATGGGAAGGAAATAAATAATGCTAAATTTTTGCACTGACCAGGAAGTCCTTGGCCTGTGGAGAAAGTGACATCATAGCGAAGACCAGGTAGAAGCCCCTGGCATTTCCCCTTCACGCACATGGTGTCCCTGCTCAACCAAGAAGATAAAGGCAATATCACATTCTAAAGAATGTGATATTGCCTTTATCACTTAAGAATCTAAAGAATACTAATCTAAACTTCCTATTTTAACTTTTTAAATTGCCAATATGGCACAGATATTAGATGACAATTGCAGAATACTGTATTACTGCAAACGTAGCCAAGCAGGGACCTCAATTGTATCTGTAATGTCAGACATGATGTTGTGGCTAGGATTAGTTAGGTCTTAGGTACATGATATGTGGCTATTAATCTGGAGAATATGCTTATTTTTAGGCTCAGCAGAAGCAGTCTGTATTCCTATGGAACACAATATGGCGGTGATCCACTGCGCGGATGGCACAGTGCTGACTCAGGAGATGTAAGCAGGAGGAGGGAGTATACTAGAGGCCTTGAGAAGACATGTGCTCAAGAGGGTGAAGATAGACCATATGAAGAGTCAAAGTAAAATGGATGATGGTTGCTTTGCAGCCACACTCAATGGTGGCTTTGAAGAAAAGGCAATGGAGACCCTTCCTGGTGGCAGAGCTTTGAGTGGCATACCTGGCCATCCACCTTGTGTGGAAGAAGTGGTGTGTGTGTGTGTGTGTGTGTGTGTGTGTATGTGTGTGATGACAGTGGTTAATGGTCTGATTAGTTACCAGGAGCCTGAAAATACTAAAAATCTGAGACAAAAAATAGTGAAGACAAAGGAGGGCACAGGAATATGAGTAGTTTTATGGAGTAAATACCACATATTAGGATTTTTGTATCACATGTTTATGTCCACCAAAAAGCATCCACCACAGAAAAGTACTGAGCCACCAAGTACACAAAATGAGTTGGCTGGATGATGTTTGCTGGCTCTTGCCTTCAGTCACCACACAACAAGCATAATGGGCTCATGAGCAGAGTACACACAGTGGCACAGGTAAAGGCAGTATGTGGGCCAATGGCATGGGCTCCCACTTGTCAAGACAGATCCTGCTATTGCCCCCACCCTCTAAACACCTTATCTGCCTACAACTGAGACCAACACTGGCACTAATCCTTGGGGAGACCAATCAGCCACTTAGCAGCCAACTGACTACATTAATCCCCTTCCATCCTGGAAAGTTCAGTGGTTTGTTCCCTTAGGAATAGACACCTTTTGTGGATTTGGGTTTGCCTTTGTGTTTGCTATTTGCAGATCTTCAGCAAGCACCACAATCTAGGGTTTTACAGAGGACGTGATCAACAGGCATAGGATTCCAAAAACATATTCAAAGGAGGGACTAAGGAGAAAATGTACAGGAGCAGCCTCACGACCATGAGATTGACTAGTTATATCAAACTCAAACCATTCAGAGGCAGCCAGCCTGATGGATTTGGAATGCAATTCTGATCTGAGGCATCATCTCAGAGGTAATGCCCTGCAAGCCTGGGGTGCCATCTTTCAGGACGCAGTATCTACGTTGAATCAGAGATCTCCATATGGCATTGTGTTCCAAATGAGATCCTAGATTCAAGTGCTGAAAGTCATTAGTGGCCCCCTTCATCTTCAATGACTCATTGGAGAATTTTTTTTCCTATTCCTGCAAGTGTAGGCTTTGCAGGGTTGGAAGGCCTGGTCCCCTAAAGAGGTGCCCTTTTGCTAAGGGACAAAGCAAGAGTCCAGTTAAACTACAGTAGACACCTGGGCACCTTGGATTTCTTGTGTCTTGGAAGTAGCAATTAGGAGACACCACATCAGCAGGGTTAGCTGACCTCAATCAGCAAGATGATCACAGTAGGGCAGGGAAGGTGTGTGGGGGACTCAGAGGATACACCCTGGTTTTCCTGGGTCCTCCTAGTCTATCTGTAACTGTGTATAGACAAGTATAGCAGCCCTGGCCCAAGAACAGCATGGTCACCAGGGGCTCAGACTCTTTAGGAAAGAGGATGTTCAGAAGTTAACTAAGGGTGACTGGAATTCTGACAGTAGAGAGGGAGATGATAGGCTAGCTGTGGCTCAGAAAGTATTTGCAATGGCAGGAGTTGTAGTTTGCCTTGCTAATCTTGCTCTTTTAAATTTTCTCTCAGGAAGAGACACCTATAGAAACCTTGGAAAACTGCTCCCTGAAACATCTGCATAAGTGGATCTGTGTAGCACAAGGGGTACAGGGATATACTGCCACAGCCACAGGGGTGTGTGGCTCAGCTCCCCATTCTGATGAGCTCAGAGAGGAAGCTGTACTTCCAACTCCATCTTGGGATTAAATATATATCTCTGAGGCTCTATCTTAGATCCCAGAGGACCCAAACTATTACCACCTGTATTTTTTAAAATATTTTTTTAGTTATAGTTGGACACAATACCTTTATTTTATTTATTTTACATGGTGCTGAGGATCGAACCCAGCATCTCACATGTGCTAGGTGAGCGCTCTACCGCTAAGCCACAACCCCAGCCCCCCCACTTGTATTTTAAAACCACAGAAATGAGGCAGCTACCTGAGATCCCATGTACAGGTAGTGTTTGTCGCATTCAGGAGGGAGTCACTTGTTTGTATACCTTCCCTCCTTACTATTTAAGCTGACTTTGTAGCTAATGAAGAAGAGTGGAGTTTGTCAGAGGAAGGTCTTAGCTTTACACTCAGAAAACTCAAAACACAAGTATGGGCTTTCTTGTTGCCCTGCTCTTGAGCACAAATAGCAGCTCTAGTGCTCGAAGGAGATGGGAGCTGTCTCAGCCTTCTAACAAGATGTATGCACAGGAGTGTGGATCTGGGCTGTGGAAGGTCTGGTTGTCTTGTAATGATCTTGCCCCCAGAAGCAAAGCAAACCTCTATTCTTTCTCCTCACCAGCTCCTGGGAGCCAACCTCAGCGTTATCCTGCCAGAATCCACAGTCACAGATAATATTTTTAGAAGCCAAAAGGTAATAATGAGAAAGACACTTTTATAGCATTTTTATGATGTACTCAAAAAGAAAGCTTTTTTTGCAATTAATTTTCCTCTCAATCTCCCTCTGTTATCAGGAAAAAGTCATAGCAAAGTTAGCGTCTCTTTTTTTATGAAATAAAAAAAAAAAAACAAAGCACAAAGTTGAATAGCTATTAGGAAGGCAATAAGGAGATAATGTGAAAAGTCCACTCTAAAATTCAAATTTCTTCCAGTTCGGTACATTAGTGAATGTCTCCTGGGACCATCATGTAACAAAGAAACCCTTGAAGTCCTGGGTTTCCTCACTTCATTTTACCCGGGTCAAGCTAGGGGTGTGTGTGTATGCCTATAACATGTTCCGACTTGGGTAGATAAGGGGGTATATGTGATGATAAACTTGTGATAGAGGAAGGTGATGGGTTAAAAGGTCAAGGTAACACAATTTTTTAGTAGACAGAGCTGAAGTCTCCAGACTCTAAAGGCTGTGCTTTGGCTACTGCTGCTGTTCCAGAAACACCCAGATGAGCGTTTGTGTATGCTTCTTGTTCCCCTCCCTGTCTCCACAGGGTGATGATTAACTAAGTCTCCCACCAGAGGTTATTATTCATTTACATTTTAATATTTGCAGCATATGATTTTTTTCTACATGACTTTGATTTTTTGCACCCCAACCTTTAACATTCTCTGCAAAAGAAGGTTAAACACTTTCCTAGTAAATTTTTAAATGTACATCATCTTTTATTTATTACAGCCCATAAATATATTTTTATGTTAAACCATTATAGAATTCATATTTAATGCACAAGTCTCCAAAGTTAAGAATCTATTATATTCAGTTCTTTAATTTCAAACATTGAAACCTGAGAGGTAAAACTGCCATCTTAGTTTTGTATTTGCAAACTTAAATTTAGAAGAATAAGTTAAGTAACTTCAGAAAGCTCAAGTAAGGAATTAATAGGCTAGAGAATGAATTAGTAATCTTGGCTTAGTTTAATTGCACTTGGTGTATTATTATTACTCATTTACCTTTTTTCTTACAAATCTAAACTGAATGAAAACTCTACCTGTAGATAGTACAATAGAACTACAAAGAGATGAGACGTATCCATTCATTCTCTGCAACTCTGGAAAATGATGACTTCATTATACTAATCTTTCATGTCTTGAGCCTTTTACTGAGCAGTGAATGCTTATTTGTGCACATTCCATTTCTCTTTCTGCTGGGATTTTCTGTGGGGTCATTGATGCTGTCACTGAGCAATTCCACATGTGCATCCTTGTGCATCTGCAAGACAGACACACAAAACTCTCACCGCTGCACCAGCCCAACCTTTGCAAGACCTACTTAACAGACGAACACACTCAAACCCCATGGAAAAAAGAACAAGACAAAGTAATATTGATTGTTCCTCTCTAACTTCCTTATTAGTATCTTCAGTAGACATTTGAAATGTGATGGCAACATAAGATCTGGGACTCTAAGTCAAAATTTCATACATGTGTGTTGATTTTGCTAACTCTGGAAAGGGATTTCCTGTGATGAACTTTTGTTTTTGCAGGATGCTTTTCAGTGCTTGGTCAATGTGTTTTTGCAGCTATGATTCTATCTCAGACTTGAAAAACTACTCTTGAACTTCATATAAAAATGGATTCCTATATTCCTGTGTTGAGTGAAGAGACAGAAACATTCCCATTAGCAAATCATTTGCTCTCACTCAAACAGCCCAGTGTTTTTCATCATGGAAAAGACTCTGCTGACTGCACTGGATGTGCGGGCGGCCTCTGGGCACTGAGTGTTCCTTCACGCATCTAAGTCACAAACAAATAACAAGTTATGCAACAAAACCTCTCAAGTTTTTGCCTTTTTGTTTCCCAACCCAGGGTGCTCTTTCTCACACCCTGGGCAGCTTGGGAAGAAAATGGAAAGGCCCCTGTGCTAGAAACACATCAAATGCAGAAACTAGGCCACTTAGTGCCAGATGATTCCCCGGCTGCTTTTAGAAGCTTCCACTTCAGTTCATTTCAGAACCACGCTCTGGCACTGTGGAGCCACACTACAAACGCCTCTGCTGATGGTAAAGAGCAATGCGTGGGAACCAGAGGCGGTTATGCAGCTTAGGTCATTTGTTACCATCTCTCTCTATATTTTGAAAGCTCTCTTTTCAGGCAGAGGATATTCCGTGTGTGTGTGTGTGTGTGTGTGTGTGTGTGTGTGTGTGTTATAGAAATGATCCTGTAAGAATGGATCTTTTGCTTTATTTCTCTCAAATACTGTGATATAGACTTTGGAAATTTAATTGTGCACTCAAATTTGCAACAACAAGCCAATCCTAGCCTGGGCTTGTTTTGTTCTAGTAGCCACTGTACAAGTCATTTTAAGTTTTGCAATTTTTTTTTCTTAAATTCCCAAAGCTTTACACTTTCCCCCTACAAATAAAGTAGCCGACTCTTACCTTTGTTCTGCACGGGGTATTCTCAGGGATCACACTTTGAGTTTTGGCTTGCATGGCTTCTTCTATAGCTAAATCAAGGAAGATATCATGGAAAAGACAGATAACAGAAAAATTCTTAAAAAAAACTTTTGGTGTCCATCAGAATATCTTTATTCTAAAGAATGCAGAGGCAAGTGTGTTTAAAAAAGTATCACTACTGTCAGGCATGGTAGTGCATGCCTGTATTCCTAATGGCTCAGGAGTCTGAGGCAGGAAGATTGCAGGTTCAAAGCCAGCTTCAGCAATTTAGCAAGGCTGTAAGTAACCTGGTGAGACCCTGTCTCAAAATAAAAAAATTAAAAGGGCTGGGGATGTTCCACAGTGGTTAAGCACCCTTAGGTTTGAGCTATGATACCAAAAAAAAAAAAAAGCATCACTATTAAAACTTCTGGCTTAAAATTTTTATTAGAACAATTTTTTTTTCTGTCCCACTGCAAATGATACTCAAGTCCTGAGTTGGCTTCTGCTTTCCCAACCTATATCCTTTCTTCCAGGGGCAGTAGGCCGACTGAGGACACACAGGCTCCTAAGGAATGCTTGCCATGTTTAGGTGTGAGCACAGTTTCTGAGTCCAGACAGTTATCCTATTGTGAACAGGCTAACTCTCACGTTTCTAAACATTAATTATCGATTTCATATGTTATATTGATTCCTGGATTCTCAGCCTTATTCTAACCCTGAAAGGTGAGAAATAAGCAGGAAGTTGAATCTTAAAAATATAACTAAAAGCAACAACAGAAATGAATGAACTTTTCAATAGTGCTTTATGATATTCAACATGGATTTATAGTGCTTATTTACTTTCTTTTTTTAATATTTATTTTTTAGTTTTAGGTAGACACAATATCTTTATTTTATTGTTATGTGGTCTTATGCATGCTACTTGAGCACTCTACCACTGAGCCACAACCTCAGCCCCAGGGCTTATTTACTTTCTAACCCAATTTATGTTCATAACAGAAAAACAAATTTACCTAATAGCATAATATGAGTAAATAAAGACAAATTCCCATGATAGGCTATAATTCTGAATGATAAACAAAAGTAAAAAATTAAATTGGAATAAACCAAGATATTTTAACAAATATTTCAAATATTATTTCAATGAAAAGAAAAAATTAAATCTTAAACACACAAAGTCAAACAATTCGGCATGTAATAAAAATTGCTAACCTGTAGACTATAATTTTTATTAAAATGTTTTAGGTGTTTTAATGGTACTGTGCTGAAAACTATATGCTGTGGTATTTGTAGTACATGATGTAATGAAGACATTCAGTTTTAAAATCCTTCTCCTTCTCCTTTGCCTTCCCCTTCGTGTGTATGTGACTGGAGATTGAACCCAGTGGAATTCTAACACTGAGCTACATCTCCAACCTTTTGTATTTTTTATTTTAAGATATGGTCTAAGTTACCCAGGCTGGTTTTGAACTTAGAATTTTCCTGTCTGAGCCTCCCCAAGTAGTTGGGATTACAGGCATATGCCACAGTGCCTGGCTAATATCCTAGTTATTTAAAGTAAAAATAAACAATAAAAATAGAAGTGTGCTATTTCAGTCAAAACTTAGATCTGAAGTTGTGTGAGTATAAACTGAAAATTTTGATTTAACTAAGAGCCTATGTAGTTGTTATTTTTCAGCTGTTTCTAGTTCCAAATGGAAAGTTATACATTGTCCTCCCTCACTTCCATCATGGACACAAGATGTTCATGGTCATGGATGGCTGAGGCTGAGGCTGTGGGGGAGGCAGTGAGTTTTGAGGAGGAGGCAAAGAGACATCTTAAATATCTGTGTACCCACCTGTTAAAATCCCATCGAGTTGGTCCACCATAAACTTTGCATTTTCTTCAGTGAAGCACATGGGTGGTTTTATTTTAAGCACATTTCTATGAGGTCCATCGACACTGAGCAGTACTCGTTTTTCTTTCATCCTAATTAGTGTAGAAAATATATGTGAGTGTATATGAATGACAGCTAAGATTGCTTAAGGACCATGGGAACACAGTGCAGAAATATACTCTGCATTCAAGAAGCCCACATTTATAAACTGCATGTGTCTTAAATTTGGAGAGGTGAGAGTAAGTGAAACAAGCTTTCAAGTGGGCCAAGGTACCAAAAGATGTGGAGGTGAATTTACTTGTAGATGACATGCTGGGCTTCTGCTGTGGCCGGGGTTCTTTCCTCATGGTCCTTCACTAAGTCAATCCCGATAAAAAGGCCGATGCCCCTGGGAATGTGGGGAAGAAAAACTTGACATACATTCTAGAGAACACTGCACTGTCACAAAAAATTAACACTGTCCCCAAAATTCAGTTTAGTTTAAAGCTGAATGTGATACCCTTGAAGTGTAATTGTTATTGATTTTTAACCAACCCAGTGTTCATGGGTAATTCTAGTTTTTGACACAGTTTTTCCATGACTTTTTTTTCTCAATTATAAAAGGAAAGGACTTAAAACAACCTTTTCATGCCATTTAGTTTCTCAGGATATTTATATTGGTAGATATCCATATGTATCTGAAAAATATCCAACTTTCTAGGAGGACATGTAAAATAATTTTGCATAGATTGTTTAGAATTACCTTAAATGTCTTCATTTCATTTTTTGGGGAGCTGAAATTATGCTAGATTTATAAAAAAGAAAAAGGATGAAAGGAAAGATATACACACAAATATTAACAGTGATGTTATCTGTATTTGAAAGAAGAATGATTTTTGCATTCTGTTTCTCAGTGTTTTCTAGATTTAGTTTTATATACTTTATTTTAAATTTATAATGTAAAATATAAGCTTCTATTTTGGAAAAACAAATAACTAGAAGACAACTTCATAATAAACATACCTAATATTGCCTATCAAAGTGTGCTTAGTCTTCAGCTTATTCAGTAACTCAATAAGGTAATTTCCTACTTTCATAGCATTTCCCTGGAGGTTTTCCTTTTCAATGATATCCAGGACAGCCAAACCAACAGCACAGGACACTGGATTTCCTCCATACTTCAGAAGAAAGACAGAACCATTGAATTAGTGATATTGCTTCATCTATGAGAAATTTAGCTTCCACATTCATAAGTGAAAATATGATTTTAATAACATTTTATCCTACAATATTAATTTCTCAGATTTAGAATACAGTATGATTCTATTTATTTAGGATTGAGTGGAAATTCATTCCAGAATATATTTTGCATGCTGCATAACTGGTATGAAGGATTATCAAGGAATGTATTGTTTCATCCAAACAAAAACAAAAAGACATCATATTATAAATGAAGGATTTCAGAGTATGATTTAGTGAAGGAATTTGAGCTTTCTACCCTTGAAGAGCTGAGTGAAAATAGCTAAGCAATATCATTTTCTCTGGATAATTTATGTCCTTTGATTCTTACTTTTAGCTTTTCACAAATTTTGTATACATATTGTACAATCCACAATGACTTTTCCAAGGCTAAAGCTTAAAACTTTGGGGAGTAAAGCCATGTAAATAGAATTTCCCAAAGATAAAAATTTACTATCTCTTATGATAGTTGTAAAACATTTATAATACTGAATCATCTAAATACTTTAAAAGTCTCTTGGGAATTTTAATCATGATACAAAAAGATCATATTGTTTGTGAATATATTCTAACTGTCAAAGTTTAACAGGATAGCCAACTATTACTGGAAAAATTAATAAGGCTGTTTTAGGAAGAAAAAGACACATCAGAAAAGTATAAGGAATGCTGTGCTATATACAATAAAATTTGGTTTGGCGAGGTGAAACAGTCTTAATCTTTACTACACTGGCAAAAAGTGTAGGAACATGCATTATTTTTCCCTCTTAGAATTAAAGTTGTAGAATTTTTAGTCATGTCCTTATTGTTAAATACTTAAGTTTTCTCACATTTTTACATTTTAGTCAATAGCCATATAAGGAGCATTTTTAGTACAAATTTCTAGACTTGAGATCAGGAGTCAGTAGGGTTTGAACATTTGTAACATTTGTTGAACATTTGTTTCTTCCTGGGAAATACAGTTCTAGAATCATCTATCTATTTATTCTCTCATCCATAGTATGTTAAGCAGTTGTCTTATCCCACTCTGCTCAGCATTAAGTATTATAATAATCTCTTATATCGTAATGAATGGATTAGAACAAATGGTATCTAGTTGCTGTTTTAAGTTGTGTCCTTTGATTATTTACAAAGTTGGAATTTTTGTAGATTTAATAAAACAATATTTAAATGAAAAAAAAATGTTAAAGTGGTAGTCCAAAATTTACCGTATTGAAATACTCCACCCCAGCGTTGTTGAAGGCTTCTGCAATTTCTTTGGTTGTCACTACGCATGCCATTGGGTGGCCATTGCCCATGGGTTTTCCCATTGTGACAATATCTGGAACAAAGTCCTCACCATGCATTTGGAAGCTCCAGAAATGTTTTCCAACTCGGCCAAAGCCTACCTGAACTTCGTCAGCTATGAACACTCCCCCTGCTCTGTGTACATATCTGAAAAGCAAAGGTGTACTTTAATGCCTTCAGATTATCAAGTGTCCCCAGACCTACACATAAATTTATAGATTATTACAAAATATAAACATAAAAAATAATTTTTAAAATAGTGGAAAAAAGATGTAGATTATTTAAGACAAAAAAGCATTGTTAACCTGAAGCCTTGATGTGTATTGAAAATATTCAGAATCCCACACACATGTTACAATATAATAATACAATTTCTAGATTGGATATATTCCACACTGTTAATGCGTATGTGCTGCTTAAAGTAAGCTATTTTGCAGTGTTTTAAGCGGAAAGAGAAAGAATTGAATGAGTAGTTTTTAGCAGGGTTAATCTTCAGATTTTTACTAATTGGTAAGGCTTAGGTGCCAGCCAGTCAGACAGGATGCCAGATGAGGGACTTGCACAGAGTTCTGGAGACAGCTCTGCTGGGCCATATGCAAACCCTTTATTTTCTGGATCTTGGGGAAGAAAAAGGGGGGCATCCGAGAGTCCTGGGATGGCAGGCACTCAGGAGTGGCTATTTACCAGCTAACTGGGAGTACTTTAATGTATTGGCAACCAATATGGCCCTAGAGAATTGTCACAGTGCCCTCAGTCTGACCAATGGTGCCCACGTCAAGTACATACTCTGCCACTTTCTGGAAGTAGCCTGCTGGAGGGATTATTTGTCCGCCACAACTCTGCATGGATTCAGCAATAAAGGCAGCAATCTATACAAGAGAAGATGGAGTCACAGTCTATTAGGTCCCCCTCTAACCCCCTAAGAAAGAGGATTGTTTATAGAGCTGGTTATTTAAAAAGTGGCTAGGAATAGAACTGTTGTTAAGTGGCAGGTCAGCCTTTTGATTAAAAACAAAAGGTGTCTATGCTAGAAAAGCAAATGATCTTATTAGTTGTTGAAATTCTAGGGTACCCATCAAGCTACCAAGAGAAATGGAAAAGATGAGAGGGAATTCCCATTTCTTCATCATTAAGTGCAGTGGCTTCATTGTTAGGATGATCTGAAAAAGACTGATGCTTTGAGAAGACCCTCTAAACTTTTACCAAGGTTTCCAAGGCATCACCATGGCACTTTTTAGCCAGCTTGGTGAAATAGGACTTCTTGAAGCTAGAATTGGCCTAATGGTGGCTTGTGGCCATATGTGATTGTTAGCCTCTACTGTATTTTCTAGGTCTTGCCCTGAGCTACACTTCCCTCACAGTTAAGCAACTCACAGTAGGAACTATATATGAAGTATTTTAGAGACTAAGGAAAAAGTAGGAAATAGAGACTGCTCAAGTAAGAAGAGAACATGCAAGAAGAACATCAGATAAATCAAGAGAACCAAGGGTCTAGTTCAAACTACTCCTTCACAACTGTATCATCTTGGGTTAAGTTCTTCACTTGTTAGCACTGTCAGGTATTAATTAGCTACAGAATAAGCCTGTTGGACTCCAGAGATTTCTAACCTAAAATTCCATGGGTCTGCCAGCACATCATTCAGAAGCACCCATCTTGTATTTTCTCATTGCCTTTAGCATTGTTAACACAACAGCATTAACCCCCATTAGGTTTGGGGACCTACCGAATGCTAATATTTTCAAAAACTTATCCAGATTCTCTTACAGTGACAAAAGGCCTATATGACTAGTTATAATGTAATTTTTTTTCTCTGAAAGCATTGACTACCATCGTGTATGTAAAGAGGTATAGGCTTTATTTGAAGAGAAAGTATAAAGCTCCCCAGCATAGCTAGAGCTTTAGGTATATCTACATAGAGATGTCTCAAAAGAGGATATGAAAAATGGACAAATAAGAAGAAATAGTTGAGAAATGTGAATGGCTCTCTAGTCATAATGACAAAAAAATTTAAGTTAATTGGAAAAAGTAAACCACTTTTTTAAATTAAGGAGTTTTCTTTTTGAATTGCTACATCTATGCCCTAAGCCAGTTTAAAGGCAAAATATTATCAAGTTGCATCAAATACCTACATAAATAACCCCCAAATTGGCTGAGAATTGATGTTGAAGCTGAATACAGTAGGATAAAGACTAAAAAAAAAAAAATTAAACTTTTTGAGGACTCTGTTTCTGAAGTTCAGGCCCATATTGGAAGGACATTTTTCTGCCTTGGCTTACCCAGGTGCAGACCAAGCCCAGGCAGTATAACTTAAGGAAGCTTGAACTATGTCCATGGAAGAGCCCTGTGGGAAGTCTACATTGATCCTGAGACTCCAGGGCCACTCTGTCCCTTCACCCTATGTTAACCCCTGTGTTCATTCATCTCAGAAGAGTTTTCCCTGGTTTATCACCTTTCTTAATTCTCTCATCCCCAATCCCTCTGGACCAGACCCTGCATACCACTGAAGAGGTCAGAAGTAGGCTACTAGTTCTTCAATGAGGATGGTGTTTGCATTTCCAGAATAAGTATTAGTAGACAGTCAGAGGTGTGACTGTAATCATGCTTTTTTCCCCTCTCAACATGAACCAAGTGAAAATGTAGCCAGAGAAGCACAGAAAGGGAATTCAGATCTAATCCTTTCTCTTCTCTACTGTGAATTACAGTTTCAATCCCTTTTATAAAAGATGTTAATGTGTTTGAAAAAGCCAACCTTCCTTCCATTGTTATGAGCTTCTTCAATAATCTTCCTCACTTCATCTGCATAAGCACTGGCTGGGTCTGAGTGGTCTTCTGTATATTTTCCTCTGTAAATATCTGGAGTTGGTGCCTGAAAACATCACATGATTCAGCTTCTCATCATTTACCTCTTGAATAAACTTTTTTAAAAAAGCATTTCCCCACAAGGGCATGGGAGTAAGTTGATCATGTTGAGTTAAGTGACTCTAGGTTTTTCTGTTCTTTTTCCTTAGCATTTCTGAATTCTGTGAAGAAATGACCTCTGTGAATTATGAACAGGAGCTTGGATTTGCTTTCAGAACCTTATAAATGAAACTTTGTTTCTATTCACATTAAGTAGCAAATTCAAATCAACAAGTATAATTATATCACACAAAAATGTCCATGAATGGAAACCATATTAAACATTCTATATTTAAAATGAATCAACACTTATCAACTATATTATTCATATGAATCATTCAGAAATATAAAGAGTGCCTCAGCACTGTCTTCAGATATGAATAATAGTTTTAAGAAAGCCTTCGGATCCTCGGTTAACAAACACACCAAATGGATTTCACTGTTTCTCAACTTGGTTTCTTTATTTGTCTTTTAAATTAATCTATATAATAATGTAGCAATAGAATAAATTTTATAAGTCATGCAAACTCAATTTAACTCTGAATTTTAAATTGGCATGAGTGGTATAAAAAGTAATTGATCAAGGAGCAAGAAAAATGAAATGACAGCTGTGAACAACATATTGTAGTACTGTACTAATTTGCCTGTGATGATACTCACCAGTGAACTAAAGCCACATTTGGTCTCTAGTCCTTAGACTTTAGCAAGTCATGTAACTATTCTAGATCTTACTTTTCTTTTTTATGGTTTCCTTCTTTCTTTCCTTCCTTCCCTCTTTCCTTCTTTCATTTCACTATTGAGGATTGAACCCAGGAGGGCTTTACCACTGAGCTGTATCCCCAGTCCTTTAAAATTTTCATTTTAAGACGGGGTCTTATTAAGTTGCCTAGGCTGAACTTGAACTTGAGATTCTCCTGCCTCAGCCTCCTGAATAGCTGAGATTACAGGCATGTACCACACTGCCAGGCCTTGGTTTCATTTTGATGATGTTGAGCTAGATTATCACTAGGCATTTTTCTAGTACTAGTGTTCTGATTCTAAGATTGTCAGATACTTACCACATGAACAAACTCTTTCTTGACATCTTTGCCCTTCCGAAATTTATATGGACTGATCTCAATTAAAGATGATAAGTGACCATGGTAAGCACTGAAAAGAAAAAGAATAGTAACCAAGATTTCTCTGGAAGGATGCTTTTCTAATGTATAAAAAATAGTGTTGCTTATTACCCCTATACATCCATCCACATTGATGCCAGGTTTAACTGTGTAAGATCTAATTTTTCATGGTGACTCTGGCCATTTAATTTGTTCATACATGGAAGGCCTCAGGTGGTTTCTTTTCAGTAGGGAAAATCACATTATTTTTTTGCTAGTGCTAAATTAGATTGTCTAAAGATGAAAAATTGTTTTCTATATCTTCATGCAAAATTTTATACATATGTATTTTTCAAATATATGTGATAGTTGTATACTGGTAAATTTTGAGAACAACTTTATTTTTAAATTTTTTTTGTTTTTATTTCTTTGGAGTACTGGGGAGTGAATGACAACTGCTTTATATCAAAGAATGGGCATGTGTTTCTGTTTGGGATGACTTCTGAAGGATGTCCAGTTGCAAATATTGGGCAAACAGTAATTAGGAAGGAACAGGAGGTCTGTTCAAGAAAAACTTAGATTGTGGTGACCAAATGGTCATGAAATTCCTCTCATTTAAAACACAAGTGGCTATGATATTTTTTGCTTGTTTTCTTTGCAGAAATATAATGGACAGATCTGGAAAGGAAATTACAAAAGGCTCTTGAACAGATAAAGCAAAAAACTTGCCCCAGCATAGATCAGACAGGTTACAATGTCTTCATAATAAAATTAGTATGATATCAGAATAAGGACGTATAGACCACCAGAAGAGAAACAGAGCTCAGAGGTGTATCCATATATAAATGATAAGGAAGTGGGGGCCAGGTGGATTCAATATGAGAAATAGTTAATAAATAGAAGAACATCTTTCTAATCTGGATGGGGGGGTGAGATGGGGATTGGGAAGAAGGGGAGAAACATTTCTAAAAAATATGTAAAAAACCCAATCCACAAGATGCATATGAAGAGAGTCTCAGATTAATAATTAGAAAAATGTAGAGTAAGATGACACTGAGAGATATGTTATATCTATTAGACTGGTAAAAATTATTTTAAAAAGTTAGCTGGATAAACATTAGTGAAAATTTTTAGTGATAAATTTTAGTGGAAAATAGGAACTCTTCTATGTGGGATGCTGCTACCATTTTGCAGACAACTGTGACAGTATTTAGACAAATTAACAGCATTTCTAGTGTACCCTAAGGCTCAGCAGTCCCGTTTCTGGGTGTCCTAAGAAATTCTCCGAAAGGACATCAAGGGCACAGGTATGAGGAAGCTTGTTGCAGCACTGTTGCTTGTGGTGGCTGGGGGAAGGTGGCAGTTACAGTATCTGTATTTGGGGACTGCTGTCAGATAGTTAGAATTGCACTGAGATTTCCTGTGACAGTCATTCCCCACACGTAGCTGTTGGGTGCTTGAAATGTAGCTAGTCTGATTTCAGATGTCCTGTGGGTGCAAAACCAACACTGGACTTCCAATATTTAGTGCAAAAAAGAATGTAAGATGTTTTAGTATCTTTTATATTGATTGCACATTGAAAGGATTATACCTTTTATAATGACTGCTAGAACATTTTAAAGTGCTTATATGGCTCACATTGTATTTCTATTGGACAGCACTCAGAAGAATAGAACAGATGTCCACCTAGCAACAAAGAGTTCTTGAAACACAATGACAAGGGATAAAAGGTGGAAACAGAAAAAGAGACCCAAATTGATTTTTATAAAATTAAAAGAGATACACATTTTACATGAAATAAAATGAAAGATACACATTATTAGTTGTCTATAGGTATGGGAGGATGGGCACAATATAAAGGACATAATTAGTTCCACCCTCTGCAATTGAGGATTGTGGGATGGAAGTTAGAAAATAAAATAAAATAAAAACCTCCCTAGTAAATATAGAACTTGTTGAATTTCTTGTTTAAAATGTAATAAATCAAGTTTGAGAGGTAAGATTAAATGTGACTTAATTGTCACAAACTTACTTGGCTGATGGGTTCCTTTAAAAATCTGTTCTAAATTGTTACCTTTAAAATTAATTACAATGGATAATCATGAAAAAGAAACAAATAATATTTTTCTTTTAAAGAAGCCTGAGTTAGATGTAGTAGTGGCAAAATAAATACTGTGTGAAAATTCAGCCTGATTCATGCAAAACCCATGAGGCTACAGCCTCCCTAGCACCAAGTGCAGCCTCTCCCATGTGCCAGTATGAAAAGAATTATCCTCTGGATTTAAGCTGGCCTTGACACCTTCATACAGAATTTAAAAAACATTGTCCCATGTGTCTGCCCTCTTCCACATGTGCTTATGGTATTAGTATAGATATGATCAGAACAGTTTTATCTCTGAGGGGGGTTCTTGATTAGAAATCTGTCTGAGACTTACTGGTCCAGAGTGATCACATCTTGGTGGTCTCGGAACTGCCGAGCCAGGCGTAAAGCTAAGTCATTGGCTTCAGATCTAGTAAGATAACAGAGTAGAGAGAGGGGTCAATGTGATGATCTCTTTATAAAATATTTTAAAATTTTAATTACAAAAGTTGTAAGGTTATATTTTTTCAGAAATTTATTAAGTAGTAAGAAGTCCTTTTTTTCCTCTTCAATCTTACCCATCTCATGTCACTCTCTAATCCAAGTCTCCCAGAGGTTTTCAACAGAGAATGAGACATACAGAAGCTGCCCAGTAAAAATCACAGACCTGCTCCCCATTTCAAGTCTAGTCCAGCCCCATCATTAGGTGAATATTTTTTAAGAATATTTATTTATTTTTTATTTGTTCTACTTAGTTATACATGACAGAAGAATGCATTTCAATTCATCGTACACAAATGGAACACAACATTTCAATTCTCTGGTTATACATGGTGTAGAGCAATCATACATGTGGGAGGGGGTTATGAGAGGAGGAAAGATGGTGGAATGAGATGGACATCATTATCCTATCTTTGAGGACTTCTTAGGAAGCCTTAACTAAGCTGATCTCAGGAGGAGGAATGGGAGGCCGAGGGTGCATGCCTGGCTACCAAACTTGTTGTATTGGATCAATTTCTATGACATGAAGGTCATTTCCCCCCTAACTGGTTCAGAGAGTCTAAATATACTACCCATACAGGGAGGAAGAAAATAATCATTTGGGGAATCTTTACTGTTTGCTTTATTTTGTTGAATACTTACTAGTATTTATTCTCAGAACAACTCCACAGGAGTTTCTTTGTCTTCTTTGTATAGATGAGGAAAGAGCCTCAGAGAGGTTAAGCAACCAGAAAAAGGTTTTACAACTAATAAGAGGTAGAGTCAGGATTCAGATTAAAGCCTGTATAACCCCAAGGCCATTATTCTTTGTCCTAGATGTGCATCCAGTCTTTGGGGACAGTGTTCTTTGTGACTAATGTCACTTAGTAGCATGGAATGCTTTATAAATGAAAGTAAAATTATCACATTTATTAGAGGCAAGATTGCTTTATAACAATAGATCCTAAACTATCTTCTTAATTCTTTACAAAGAAAAAAAAGAATATTCTGATTATAAGTTTGGTTTTAAAATAGCTTATGGAAAAGTGAATCATACAAAATCACATAATCAAACATTTATAGTATTTATTATAGTTAATTTTAATACATACATATAGATAGATAAATAGATAGATAGATAACTTTAAAAATGGGATTTCTGCTGCATATACAGCTTTTCCAAGTTTGCAAATAGATACATGATAATTCTAATTCACAGAATTTAAAAGTTGGAATGTACCTATTCACTTGAACTTCCCCTTTCCTCCTTCCCCACCCCCTTCCTTTTTTCTGTTTTTTTTTTCCCCCTCCTTCTCTTTCCTTCCTTCCTTCCATTTATGTTTGGGAAATACACTCAACTTCTGTAAGAAAATGAATGAATCAAAAATCATATAAAAGTTAAAACTTGTTTAGTAGATTTATTTCTTTGCTAAAATTCATTATTGTTTTGAAAGAACTATACTGGCCTATTGCTTCTTTAACGACTTACTCTACTGCCTGAAGGGGGGAGCATCATTTGACCAGTAAAATTCAGAGTCAAGAGACAAAAGAAACAGAAAGTCCAGTTGCTAATGTGAGGTCACTTGGCGACTGGTGAGAATCTCACCCAAATTTTTCAGACATCCACGCTCCACCATGAATCAAAAGGAAAGGTGTACTTGAGAGAAGGTAGAATTTAACTGAAATGAGGATGCGGAGGAAACCAGAAACTTACCCTGAATTTGTAAAATAGAAAACAGAGAGCTTCTTGGGCAGGGTGGCCGAGAGGCGTTTGGCATACTCAACAATGTTGTCGTGGAGGAATCGGGAGTTTGTATTTAGCAGTTCCATCTGTTTCAGGGCAGCTGTGAACACTTCTGGGTGACAGTGTCCCACTAAAATTTAGACAAAGCCCAAGAAATAAGTGACAATTGTAAGTGCTCAGGACTTGAGGGGAATTCTGAAGCAAGCAAGACAAAAGTTGAGCTCTTCTCTCTTCCACACTTAGCTGTAACTTTTCCCTTTATTCGCCCATTCAGCAAAGGGACTGCAGCTACTGCAATTCCTGAGATAAATAACTGCTTCATAACACTTATTCCAAAGAACTACAAAGACAGGACATTTACCATGGGCAACATTGTTGATGCAGTCCAAGTACTGTACTCCTTTCTCATCGAACATGTACTGCCTCTGGGCTCGCACTATTTTGATGGGATCTGCAGCAAAGAAAACTTCGCAAGAGGGCCTAGAAATAATCAAAGGAAATACTTTGGTCTGGCAGAACAACTCAGTATTTGTCCTTCTAAATGGAAAACTACCATTACATAAAAGAAAGGGAAAACACAACCTGGATGACGTGCAATTTTTCTTTTCCATTTCTTATCAGCCTGAAAACCTTTTATCATAATCCCCCATTCATGCCACTGCTCATATTTCTTATGGTAGTTATATTAAATTTGCCATGATTTGACAATTCAGTTTAGAGGCACAAGAATCATTAACTTGCAGATAGCTCTAATCACACAAATCAATAGCTAATTTTCCTTTGGGAAATTTTGTTTTGAAACAAAAAAAGTAATTTGTTTTTCTTTGATGCTTCCTGTATGGCAGAAACTATTACATATTTCACAAATATTATCTCATTTAATCCAACAACACTATATAATAGGGATTGTTGTTCTCATTTTGATTAGTGAGGGGACTGAGGCACGAAAAATTTAAGAAACTTGATCAAGATTTATTAGCTGGTTAGTGAATGAAAAAAAATTTTGAAAGTAGACTTTGCCTCTTCTTTTTTTCCTTCCAATCTACTCTATAAAGACATAAACAGGCAGGGCACGATGGTGCCCATCTGTAATCCCAGCATCTTGGGAGGCTGAGGCAAGAGGATTGTGAGTTCAAAGCCAGCCTCAGCAATTTAGTGAGGACTTATCAATTCAGTAAGAAATTAAAACAAAAACAAAAACAAAAACAAAAAAAACAAGGGCTGGGGATGTGGCTCAATAATTAAGTGCCCTGGATTCAATCCCTAGTAACCCCCAACACTCCCCAAAAAGAGATGAACAGCACTAAAAGCTAAATAAAAATAACTTACCGAGGGGGTGGTATTGACCAAATTATATTGATATATGCATGTATGAATATGTAACAAAAATCCTCCTATTATGTATAATTACAATGCACCAATAGGGGTAATTTAAAAAAATAACAGAGTTCAGTATTATAAAGGAGATTTTGTAGATAACTTCTATTTCCACATATTTTGAGGGAATTTGTCCTATATCAAATGGATTTTCTATTCTTAAATAAGAGAGTATATTGATTATTGTGTATAGCAACTTCAGATTTTAAAATTGCTTCAGGTTGGTATATTTGTTACTAGAGAGTTTGCTTTTATTTTTAATTTTTGTAGTGCTGGAAGTTAAAGCCAGGGCCTAACAGTTGCAAGGATAGCACTTTATCACTGAATTCCTACATCCTCAGTCTCTCACTGAGGTAGTTGTTTGTTTTGCAGTACTGAGGATTGAACCCAGGGGCATTCACTCACTAAGCTACATTTCTAGCCCTTTTTCTTTTTTACTTTGAGGCAGGGTCTTGTTAAATTCCCTGGACTGGCCTTCAACTCGCAATCTTTCTGCCTCAGCCTCCAAAGTAGCTAGGATAGTTTTAAAACAATCTAAAATGAAAATAACATTTAAGGAGAAATTTCTTGTTGATTCAAGCTCAACTATTAGTTTATACCTACTAGTTAAGATCCACAGAAAACCTTTTGCTATGAATGTGAACTGAAAGCTGCAGACTTCACCTTGCCTTTTAAACATAGTTTCCACCTTGTCCATCAGACTTCAGGTAAAAATTCTTCAGTCAGTTCATAGCTACTTTCCTCCCACCATGGAACTTGTTCTGCTCATCATGTCAGAAACTATTAGATTTCCAGTGGAATCTAATTACATCGGATTGAAAACTAACAGAATGGGTGATTAGGAAAAAGTGGGTGATCAGCTATTGGGAGGGGGAGATTTGGCCATTTTTATCCCATTTTGGGGTTGAACTCTAACTAGTCTCCTAAACCATCTAGAAACTTCCCTGTTTGAGGTTAGAAGCTTCAGTATGAGAAAATGCACAGCTTTCCCCGAAAGAGGACACTACTTCTGTTCTTTTTTGTGTCCTTCTGTTCTTTTTCCCTCCTCTCGTGCCCACCAGTCAGCTGCAGCAGTCAACTGCAATACTGCTGACAACTGATCTTACTAGGTCAGTGCTAATACCTCTAATCAATCATTCATATTTACATGTATTTTTTTTAAAAACACAAATGCTAACCCTGATTTTCATTTGCTCGCTCCTCTAAAGCAGAATGTTATAGCTATGTTCATAAAACAGGAAATGAATTTGACAAGAGTTCACAGAGGTAAGGTGACATCCAACTAGGAACAGAGCTCAGGTCAATCTTGTACACTCACCATTATATCACAAGTCGTTTATAATGTGGGCAAAACAACGAAGACTGGGGAGATCACAGCATTTTATATTCGAAGTGAGGGCACAGCTTGGAGACCTAGGTGGTGCTGAGTATGGGCATCTGCTAACTGAACTGCCCGCTTTTCTGACAGAAGGTGGTTTCGAGTTTTTCCACTGGCTAGATTAACCCTTTACGGCTTAACCGAGCATGCAAGACACACACACTCCTTTTGTTTCAAACAAAAATTGTCAATATTAGTTCGTTTTCATTGCCAAAACTACTTCTGGGTTCACATATTTTAAGCTTTCGGGTTGGGTGGGCGTGCCGGCGCCCATCCATCGAGTGGCTGTAAACTCTGGTCGCCAACTCCTCCAGCCGCCTGTCGTCAGCCTCCTGCCCACGACCGCCTCCGCCCAGCGCAGCCAGATGCGGGTGCTTCAGGGCTAGCCGGCTGCGCCAGGGAGCACCGCGCGGGCAGAGGCAGGCGGGGGCGCGAGTGCGCAAGCGCGGCAGGCGGGCGGCGTCGCACCCGCTGGCAGGAGCCCAGCGGAGCTTAGGTGCGCAGGTCTCTCTCTCACTCTCCTGTACAGCTTCGGCTGTTTGCACGCTTTCCCACCCCATGCACCTTTCCTTCGGGCTGGGTAGCCCTTACCCGATGTACTTCCCTCGCAGCGCCAGCGTGTCCTGCTTGCTGTATAGCTCGCACATGGCAGCGGAGTGCTGGGCACCTCGAGGGGTCTCCCCTTTGAGGTCAGTGCGTCTCTTTCAGGAGTCGGAGACTTGTCTCAGCTCTCTGGCCTTTCCTCCCGTTTATCCCTCAAGGGGTCCCCTGGCTCTGGGCGTCGGAGGTCACTGGTGGCATCAGCTAGCTAGGGTCATCCCCCTTTTAAGTCTTGCTCTGCCTTTGCCCTTCGCCAAGTCCCTCCCTCCTGCTCCCCTCCTCCGCCTGGTGCCAGCTTGGCAAGTCACCGGAGCAGCCACCCCCGCCCCCAGTCTAACTGGCTCCTGTCCCTGCCCTGCTGATGCCCACTGCCCCTCCCCATCTCTGCAACTCTTTTTAACTGGCCTTTTATTTTCCTGTCTCCTTCCTTTGCCTGTGAATTCCCTCCTTCCCACATTGTTTGTGCCTTCTTTTTAGAGTATTCCTTTATCTTTTTTGTTAAAATTCAAAGATAGGGGCTCTCTGGGGATTCCAAGACCGTACAGTTTTCTTCATTCTCACATAACATAGCTTACCATTTACTCAGCACAAGTAACAAGTCATATGCCCTAACGCTAAATAAGAGGGCCAGTAACCTCAGTTGGGAAGGATGTGTACATTGTTTCAAATATCTACTTGAACAATCACTAACATATCTAATTTCTAACACATTCACATGGCTTATCTAATACAGTCTTCAAAATAACCTTGAGTGGGGTATGTGATAGTTATGCCACATAACATTCGGAGAAGTGAGATTACTTCAGCTCCTTGATTTCCTTTAAAACGTTCTTCTCAAGACTTCTCAAAATTGAAATTAAATATGTGGACAGAGCTATATAATGCTGAGTTACAAATTATTTTAAGAACTAGAGTTCTTCTGGTTTAACTGCTCTTTTCTATGGATAACAACAGTGGGGCCCTGGAAAGGGACAGCTTTATTCAAGGTCATTTTAGCTATACAGTTAAAACTAGATCATTTCATTTGCTTTGTGTTTCCTAAGGGCAACAAAGAAGTTTAATTGGCCTGCATTGACATATTTGATAAATATTTGCAAATGACCTTTCTCTTGAATAGAGTGGTTATTAATTTACATCAGCTGGAGGAGTTGAATTTTGTTTTCTAAGGTAGAGAAACAGAGTTCTAGCAGGGACTGCTTGAAAAGAATTCTAGGTGTTAAATTTGGGGAGGTTTGTGCACACCTGTAATCCCAACTACCTGGGAGGCTGAGGCTGAAGGACTGTAAGTTCCAGGCCAGCCTGGGCAATTTAGCTAGACCCTGTCCCAAATTAAAAGTGCTAGAGATGTAGCTCAGTGATTGACCACCCCTAGGTTCAATCCCTAGTACTGGGGGGGGGGGGGGGACTTAGGTAGAAAGGCAGAGAGCTGGGGAATGTGGCTCAGTGACAGAGCACTTGCCTAGCATGTGTGAATGTTAGGCCCTGGGTTTAGTTCCCAGTAACACACACACACACACACACACACACACGAAACTTAAATGAAAGGCAGAAGGTACTTTGGAGATTTGCAAGAAATCTCAAATGTAATCTTGGTCTATTTCCAAATCTGAAAGATGTTTCCAGCTGTTTGTGTATTTTCAAACCGGCTAAGCTTGGTGAAGTCATGAGGTCACACTCCTTCCACAAACCTCCAGGGTTCCTTATGAATAGTCCTCATGCTTTAAACTGTTCTTTAAATAATCCTCAATGGAGATTTTTGAGTTCTAGAGCTGCTTCTTCCATAAACCATGTGGGCTTCTTGACTTCTCTGGGGCCACACTTCTTTGTATTTAAATGATCTCTGTGACTGAAAGCATTACAATTAGGCTTTATTTCTTAGGAAGAGTCCTGAGCCCTTTCCTCTGTACTCTTTCTCAAAGTAATCCAGTGATTACCTTGGATTTAGAATTTGGTACCAATGTCAATATACCAAATTCACATCTCCACCCAGACCTATTTTCTCAGTCCCAGACTCTCATGTTTACTTCCTTACTTGACATCTTCACTTAGATGTCTCACACACACCTCAGTTTTAACCAGTCCAGAATGGAAGCTTCATTCTTCATTCTCTAAACGATTGTTCCAATAAGTCCTGTATCACCAGGCATTTACTCACCCATTCAAAATATACCAAATGCTCACTGCATGCCAGTGAATGTTTTATTTGCTGGAGATAGAACAGTGGACCTGACCAAGTAGTCCCAGCTCCCAGTCCCTAGCCCCCAGCCCCCAGCTCCTCATACTCTAGATCTGTACAGTCCCATATAAAGCTACTAGCCACTGGGGCTTATCGAGGACTTGGAATGGGACTAGTCTGAATTGAGATGAGCTGTTGGTATAAAATTTGCACCAGATTTCAAAGACTTCTTTCAAAAAATACTAAAGATCTCATTAAATTTTTATACTGATTACTGTTGAAGTAATGTTTTTGATATACTGTATTGGATTTTATAAAAATATATCATTAAAATTAATTTCACCTCTCTTTTTTTGAATGTGGTTACTGTAATATTTAAATTACATAGATTGGCTTCGATTGCTGTTGTATTGGACAGCATATGGGGTAGATGGATAAAATAAACAAGTAAACAGTTAATTTAACAAGATGATAACTTGCTTTAATTATGACAAGTATCTTCAAGGAAATAAACAGAAGAAATGACCTTAAGCCAGAAACACAGGAGTCCTGGAGAATTCCTTTCTTTTTCTCAATCCCATCTCTGTGTCAAATTATTTTCAAGCCCCATTCATGCCACTTCAAATTACATCTTAAATCTATATGCTGCTGTCCTGTGTAAACCATCTGCATTTCTCTAACCGTTTTCCTCACTTCCACTTCCCACCTTCTGCAGCTTTATCACATCCTTCCTCTTCTTAAAACCCACCAGTGACTGCAGCTGTCTTCTCCAGGTTCTGCTTGGATCTCCTGCACATGTCTTTCATTTGTCCTTAGTCACTTCAGGGACTTTGCATTTGCCTGGGATTTCAATTTAAATGTCTCAGGTGGCCTTGGAGAGGTCATTCTTGATTACTCTATCACATGAATAGTTTTCAGCTAATTAAAAATAAAACAACTAGTTCTTACCTTGTTTCTCCATCTTAATCTGTTCTTTGTTTCATTTTTATCTGTCTCTTTATCAGTGTACCCCAGTAGCACAGGGCTTGGGACATGGAAAGTTTTGATAAGTATATGTTGACTGATGGACTGAAATGAAACACATCTCAAGATTTAATACCTGGTTTTAAAGATGAAAGTTCTTATGAGCTATGTGGCCCTTGAAATGGTTCCATTTACTTATGTGTTGACTCTTAATTTGTATTTTAACCATATGTTGATTCATGATCTTTTTTTTTTTTTTTTTTTGGTACCAGGAATTGAACCTAGGGGCTTAACAACTGAACCACATTCTCTGCTCCCCCTCCATTTTTTTTTTAAATTTAGAGAGAGGGTCTCACTAAGTTACCTAGGGCCTCACTAAGTTGCTGAGGCTGGCTTTGATCTCATGATCCTCTAGCCTCAGGCTCCTGATAATTATCTTTTATAACAAAGCAAGTAACTGTTGCTTTAACAACAGATCATTTCCCTACTGACTAATTTATTTCACAATGTGGAATAGATAATATTAACTAAGTACAAAGAAAGTCAGCTGACATCCATCTTTACAAAGGCTTTGTCAAAAATAAAATTCAAGGGATTTGGGGGTACATTTTTTCATGAACGTCTCCCATGTATTTGGCAGGAGTGTACATGATGGTGTTTTTTTTTTTTTCCTCCCCAGGTTGATGTTCTCTCAGTTTTGGTCCTGACCCTATTGATTGGCTCAACCTATTGAGTGAGTCCTCATGTGAAGGTCACAGATTTCTCAACAGTCTAGGCTTGGCCAAATAAACCATATGTGTACTTGACTGAAATGAAGAGATACAGCTCACACAATCCCAGGACAATTAGAATTCCAGTTGGTAATCCAGTGGAAAGAGTATGAATGGCAGGTTTTAATTTTCTTCTGGGTAAAAAAACATGCAGAGGTGGGTGAACTGTATATTCCAAACAACAGAGATGGTCCAGCTTATTATACAATACTCAAGATGGAATGTCAGCTTTTGAGTAGCTCCTATTTCCTGTTCCCTGCCCTGCCCTAACCTCTCTGCCCACCACAGGACTTGTCTTGTCTGAAACTCATGTCATCTGGGACAAATGCCAGATATGGTGCTTTTTCTGACATGACATAGGATACCTACAAGGGTCTCCAGAAGGAATTTTGCAGGGTTGTCCCTATTGTTGTAAGTCTATGCCTGAAGTTCCCCTGAGGCGAACACACTGATGTCACCTTGTGCCTATCCTGTGTGCACAGCTTCTTGTTCA